AAAGTGTGGGTGGGTTCACTTTTGTTGTTGTTGTGAAGCCTCACCTGAGGCTATTTTTCCATTGATTTTTTTATATATTTTTAAATATATTTTATTGATTTTTTACAGAGAGGAAGGGAGAGGGACAGAGAGTCAGAAACATCAATGAGAGATAAACATCGATCAGCTGCCTTCTGCACACCCCCCACTGGAGATGTGCCCGCAACCAAGGCACATGCCCTCGACCGGAATCGAACCTGGGACCCTTCAGTCCGCAGGGCCAACGCTCTATCCACAGAGCCAAACCAGTTAGGGCCATTGATTTTTTTAGAGAGTGGAAGGGACAGGGAGATGAGAGAGAGAGAGAGAGAGAGAGAGAGAGAGAGAGAGAGAGAGAAACACTGATGTGAGAGAGACACATTGATTTGTTGCCTCCCACACAGGCCCCACCAGGGCTGGAGATTGAGCCTGCAACCGAGGCACATGCCCTTGACTGGAGTCAAACCCAGGACCCTTCAGTCTGCAGTCTGATGCTCTATCCACTGAGCCAAACTGGTTAGGGCGGATGGGTTCAATTTTAAGAAAATTAAAGTCTTGAGTTTATCAGAAACTCAGAAATGGAGCTTGCAGAAAAACATTGATATAGATGATCCTTGTTACTTTCCCTTTTAAGTTTTTTCATAACTGGCTTCTCCAGGATGAACACCTGCAGATCAATCTGTAGATTCAGAGAGAACACACAGTAGTTCATTTTATTCAGCACTTCATTTCATTTTTTAAAAAATTATTAATTTATTAGCATCAGTAGAGGGCTAAATTGATCCTATGTGCCAGATTCACTCAACTTAGTCTCATTATCCCCAACTATAGAATGTTCCTTTAATTGCTCAAAGCTCCTCAGTTATGTTTCATCCTTAGTTTTGCCTTAAATTTGGCTTTCAACTGTTATGTTCCTAGGAAGAATATGTTTTCTGGAAGATCACCATGCATCAGTTAGCCTTGATTGCCTCATGGCTTAGTTACACACAAGATAACATTTTGACTACCTTTTCGTTCATGTTATATGAACTTTCTCCTGCTAGAAGGAAAAGAACAGGGCCTCCTGCTAGCTTGGAGACCCTTGGCTTCACCTATGAAAATTGTCTGATTCTTCAGTCTCCTCACTATCTTACTATCTTGTGGTGTAAAATCCACTAAAAATTTATAGAGGTATAAATAAAGTACAATAAACCACATATACTTAAAATGTATGGTATGACAAACTTTGGCATGTATACACATGTTAAACTATTGCTACAATCAAGATAACAGTTATTGATCATCCAAAAAGTTTCCTTTTACCCCTTGTTCTCCATTTTTCCCTCACTGTCTTCCTCAGGCAACCACTGATCTACTTTCTGTCACTATAAATCTGTTTGCATTTTCAAGAATTTTATTTTAAGTGGAAGCATACAGTATATAGACATTTTATTTGTCTTCTTTCATTAAGCATAATTATTTTAAGGGCCATGTGTCCTATTATATATCATTAGATTATTCATATTTAGGACTGAATAGTATTCCATTTTGTGGGTATCCCACAGGTATACCCTTTCAGCTATTCATAGACACTTTTTGACTGTTATGAATAAAGCTTATGAGCTACCTTGTACAGATTTCTGTGTAGATGTTTTCTTTCCTTTGAGATAAATGTGTAGGAGTGTATTCCTCTCCTGTTAAGTACAGCTTCACCTTTTTGGGAACCTGCTGACTGTTTTCCAAAGTGGTTGTACCTTTTTACTTTCTTACCAGCAGAGTATATAGTTGCTCTACATCCCTGTCAACACTTGGTGTGGTCAGAATTTTTTAAGCCATTCTGGTAGGTCTGTAGTAGTATCTTATTGCGGTTTTAGTTGTATTTTGCTGATAACAAGTGATATTGAGCATCTTTTAATTTGCTTATTGGCCATTCCTCTGTCTTTTCATCTAAAGTGTCTCTTCAAATCTTTTGCCCATTTTAAAAATTGGATTTCATCTCTATTAATATGCTCAGATTTTGTCTCTTACAAGGTTGGAAAGTAGGTAGGTTTTCCTTAAAATAAAAATTAAATACATGTCTGTAGGGTCCCAAATACATCATTCACTTGGCAGCATCTGTATCTGTTTACTTCTGAAAGTATAGTTTCTTATGGTACTAGTCTACTCATTTAAAGCATAGATACCCTAAGATTGTACTTACATTTCTCTTGTGGCTAGCTTTTTGATAAGAATAGATCTATAATAAATCCAATTGAACTTTTATCTTCTCTAGGGAATATATAGTATTTTAGGTAACAAGGTTATATGTATAAAGCTAAAAACAACCATTTAAGGTGCATTGTAAGTGCTTTCTAGAAAAATGCATCCTATAGGAATTTTGAACACCACCAAGACTTTTGTGTATTTAAGGAAATAATTTACAATGGTAACATTGATTTCAAGAAAGGGAAGTAAGGCAGTTCAATGAACATTATTTACTGTAAATAACTGAAACCTTTTATTTCTTTCCTTCTGTGTTTTCTAAGTATATATTGACAAGGAAGTGTACTTTTATCTGACTATTTAATTAGGTAATGTGTGGTTTAGTCTTTGCATTCAAATCAAAATATAGTTCCAATAAATACCATGCAATTTTTGATCATGTTACACTACATTTTCTTAGAAGGGAACAAATCAAATTTTTTGAATGGGAATAAAATCTCTTTAACAAAGAGGGTTGCATCTGTTAACCTTTTTGAAGCCGTATCTAGTATTTTAATACATGGAATGACAAATTGGCTGTGTATTTTTATTTGCTCATCCTTTTCCAATGAATGTCTTTACTATGGCTCAGATGCTTATATTAAAATCTTTGCAAAGTCACATCTCAAATGCCATTGTATGAGTGAAAATAAATGCAAGTCTGTGCTTTTGAAAGCGAATTTCCTAATTAGTGCCCTGAATCCGTGGGAAATAAATGGGAAGCCATCACAGCAGTTCGTTCAGCTTGAATGCCCTATTTCTTATGTCTCCATATAGAATCAGAGCTGGTTGCTGCAAAATCTTTGGTGATGCCACATAGGTTGTTCTTGTTCTTTTTCTTCCCTTTTACTGGCACCCACTAACTTCAGAGAAGTCTGTAGGGAAATAGTTTTCAAAGTGTGGTCCCTGGACCAGTAGCATAGGCCTTGCCTAGGAACTTGTTAGAAATGTACAATCTTCAGCCCTCCTCCAGACCTGTTGAATCAGAAATCGAAAAGGGAGGTGTGCATAGCAATCTGTGTTTAACAAGCCTTCCAGGTGATTCTGAAGTATGCTGAAGTTTGGGAACCTCTGATCTAGGGAAATGAAAGGAGTTGTGAATGCAGGCTTATGTAAAACTCCTTTCCTATAGCTTCAGGCTTACAAGTTCATTATCAGTTTGCTGTAGCAATAACTGCACAGTAGGACTGCATAATGAAACATTGTGAAATTCAGAGGCATGAATATTAACTGATCACAATATTATTGACCACTAGATTTGTATTGGGTAAAATGGAATTTTCCCTTTAGCTTTATATCGAGGAGAAACACACTTTCATAAAGTTTTGTGGCCCTAGCCAGTTTGGCTCAGTGGATAAAGTGTTGGCCTGTGGATTGAAGGGTCCCGGTTTTGATTCTGGTTAGGTCACATGCCCAGATTGTGGGCTCGATCCCTAGTGTGGATTTGATTTGTTAAACCCTATGTCACAAAAATAGCTATTTAAAAGTATGTTCAGATTCTGTACTCTTCATTTTAGAATATGGTCTGTCTAAATTTTAGCACTTTCTGTATTCAGAGACTTAAATTCATTTTAGGGTTTGCATCTTATTGATATGTGCCAAGGATTAGATGCACTCAGTTAAGCTTCTTCTTGGCCAAATGACATACCCTGTTTCTGATGTCAGTCTGAGAAAATCCTATACAGTGTACAACATCCACCGGATTACCTTATCTAACTGTTACATGGACATTTCAGATGATATGTCTTGGCATGTGGTCATTTTTCATTAACTTAATAGGGACTGTTAAAGCATCTTTTCCCCTTTTTGACACCTTGCCATAACTGAATGCAAAATTGACTGTAAGACTGAGTGCCCGATATTCATACAATAAGTTGATGGAGTTTCATTGGTGTGTAGCAGAAACCATGCCCAGATGGGTGTCTAGCAAAAAGGGCTCTGTCACTATCTCACATGGGCTGTGGACGTGGGCTATATCTACACTCTGGACTTTATTTTCCTCAACCATAAAATGTAGTGATTAGTGGCAGCATTTCTAAGATCCTAAACATTTTATGACTTTAAGATTTGGTGGAAAAGGGGATAAAATCCAAACTATGAAGCACTGTTGAGGTACAGTATACAATTATGTTTTTGTTGAAATAATGAATGAAACAGAATAATTAGCATAAAGTAGGCTTCAAAGTCCTTGGAGATAATGGGTAATAATGATATTAAGTACTTATAATTTTAGAGATTAGACTAATATGTTTTAGGAAAAATACTTCAGGAAAGTATATTTAAACTTAGTATTTTTTTTCTTCAGAGTTTTCATATTGAATTATTTATTTTTAACTCTAAGGTATATGACATGCTTAGAAAATCTGGTAATTTTAATAGTTTTAGCCTAAGTGTACTCTATAGATCATATATATTCTTCCTGTAAGGGAAATATCTTTTAAAGGATAGCTTTCTACACTTTATACTCCTCTGCACTCACTTATTTCATTACATTTTGTGCAACCTAAAATTGTAGCTATAAAGCTATTTTGGGCATGCTTTTTCCAGAACCTTGTACAAATCAACAGGAGCATAATTCTAAGCTACAGAAGTGCAAAATAAGCACAGACTGTAGCTACCATAAATAAAATGGCCAGAATTCTAATTTTGCAAAAACACACAATTACTAGCAATAGGAGAGGGGGACATGAGGACAAAAAGAATTTTATCAGGTATTGTTTCATAATGCTAAACTTTTTTCTCTGAACTTTGTTTCTCTATAGAGATGGAATTCTGTGAAACTCCTCGCACTCTCTGCTCTGGCTACCAGACCGACATGCACAGTGTCTCTCAGCATGGCTACCAGCTTGAGATGGGATCTGATGTGGACACAGAGACAGAAGGCGCTGCCTCACCTGACCATGCACTGAGGATGTGGATAAGGGGGATGAAATCAGAGCACAGTTCCTGTTTGTCCAGCCGGGCCAACTCTGCATTGTCCTTGACTGACACTGACCATGAAAGGAAGTCTGATGGGGACAATGGTAATAGAACTTTCTTTACTGTTTTAAGTAAAAACGGAGAGAATGCCGTTTTTAGCCTCAAAGTTCTTTTCCTTCTCTTTGTCTGCCTGTTTTTTATTTAATATGCAGAATGGAAATGCAAGTTAGCAGGGTCACAGGGACAAGGCACATACCTAAGGATCTGGCACACAGGCACCTTTATTTACAATGATAGACAAAATACTTTTTCTTTCTGGTGATCCCCCAAGGGAAATAATCTCATGTAGTCAGTGATATGTCTTATTTATTACTCACCTTTTATTTTCATATTTATTTGCCAGTGCAATACTAATGGTATTTACTGTAGAAAGTATGCATTCCCTGTATGTTGGCTTTATATCAATATGTGAAAAATGAAATGAACAGTTGTATAGCAACCATATTCTTGATGTGCTTCCTATTTGATTGAGATTAACATGCTGAGTGTACAGATTCAAATTAATCAAGTTAGATGGAAATGATTTTTTAAAAAAGAAGGTAAATTAGCATCACCTATTTGCTAGACAATGAGTAATAATAGTAGTGTCATTAAATTGTAATTATATGTTATTTTCTTACAACTTTTAGAAGTGGAAAAGTTTTGTTTCTTTGATTTGTTGGGAAGAGGTTGATGTATTTTATTTCTGCTCTCTGTCTTTACCAAAGAACAAAATCCTTTCATAAAAAAACACATTAATGTTTATTAAACACATTAATCTATTGTCTTCCTCATTCTGTTTGTCTAAATTTGATAGGTCCCCATCACCATGACCACAAGGCTTGGTGTGATAGCAGTGGCTAATTAGTGTTTTCCCAGGTGGGAGATAGGTAGCCAACATCCCTGTATGTACGGATTTTTCTATTCTGTCCTTATACTCTTCAGCCCATATGGAACACTGGCCACAGGGTATAATTTGGAATGACCATTTGCCCACTAGTTAGAGTATCATTTCCTAAATGATAGGCCATAACACTTTGTAATATCACCAAGTATCCTTGGGGTCTTGATTTTCTTAGTTTATTTTCTTATTTTTGTTAATCCTCACCTGAAGATATTTTTTCAATTGATGCTTAGAGAGGGTGGCAGGAAGGCGGAGAGACAGAGAGAAACATCAATGTGAGAGAGACACATCAATTGGTTGCCTCCCACATGTGCCCCGACTGGGGCCCAGGATCAAGCCTGCAACCAAGGTACATACCTTTGACTAGGATTGAACCCGGGATCCTCCAGTCCCAGGGCCGATGCTCTATTTACTGAGCCCACCAGCTGGGCTTTTTAGTTTATTTTCATGTCTATATATAGGTATTGTTGACTTGTGTGGAGAAGAGTATGGAGTTTCCTCAAAAAAACTAAAAATGGAACTCCCATTTGACCCAGTGATACCACTTCTAGGACTATATCCCAAGAAACTAGAAACACCAATCAGAAAGGATATATGCACCCCTATGTTCATAGCAGCACAATCCACCATAGCTAAGACTTGGAAACAGCCTAAGTGCCCATCAGCAGATGAGTGGATGAAAAAACTGTGGTACATCTACACAATGGAATACTATGCTGCAGTAAAAAAAGAAGGAATTCTTACCATTTGCTACAGCATGGATGGAACTGGAGAGCATTATGCTAAGTGAAATAAGCTAGTCAGAGAAAGATAAATATCACATGATCTCACTCATTTATGGAATATAATGAACAACATAAGCTGATGAACAAAAACAGATCCAGAGACAGAGAAGCATCAATCAGACCATCAAAACTCAGAGGGAAGACAGGGGAGGGTGGAGGTAAGGGGGAGAGATCAACCAAAGGACTTGTATGCATGCATATAAGCCTTACCAATGGACACAGACAACAGGGGGGTGAAGACATGAGTGGGGGATTTGGGGGAGTAATGGGGGTATAAGGACACATATGTAATAACTTAAAGAAATTTTAAAAAAAGAAAATTGTTAAAAGCAAAAAAAAAGAGTACAGGAAGTGAAGTATGGAAATGAGAAGGGAACATATTTGATGTATGTATGCATATCCATGTAAGTAAAAGAGCACTAGGATGTAAGTTAGGAGACCTTGGAATGGTTCCTATACTTTCTGGGCTTCAACTGTCAAACAAAATTTAGTAACCAAATTTATGTGAAATGAGGTGGTGGATGATCTCCTTATTGCCAAGCCTTCTCATTCTGCCTCATCTCACCCCTGACATCTGAAGCTATAACCAGTTCACTGGGTTGAAACATTAAAATATTCCTGCCAGACCCTAAGTATGGGGTTTGGATTTTGGGTAATGAAACTATTCTGGAAATAGATAATAGTGATGGTTGTACAACTCTGTGAAACTACTAAAAACCACTGCATTGTACACTTGAAGAAGGTGAACATTATGGTATGGGAATCATATTTCATTGAATCTGTTAATTAAAAATAGTATAGATATAAGGATTAAAGATTTAGGAATCCCAGATGACTTGGACAAGGATTAATTAATAAAATATTTCATATTACAGGTTTCAAATTCTCCCCTGTTTGTTGTGACATGGAGGCTCAAACTGGATCTACCCAAGGCAAGTTTTCCCAAGATTTGACTACCTATTATTTTTATCTCATCCCACCCCTGACACCCACCCCACAAAGTGGACTCCTGCCCCTCTGACAAACACCACACTGACCTGGCTAAGCTGTCAGAAGATTAATTCCTTGGCAGCTTACTGGTTTGCTTTTCTCTGGAAAACTTCATGTGTGTATATTGGTGATAAAAAGGAGATGAGAGGGTGTTGGGGAGAAAGAAAAGCAAGATTTAAGGTGGGAGAGGGAAGCATAGATTTAGCATGGGGGCAGAAATTCAAATCAGGTTGCTTTGGGTTTGGCCTCATGATTTTCTATGTTATCTACAACTTGTTGCAGGACTCTAGCCATGAATTTATTATAGTTCCAATACGGTTATAACTTTCAAGTGCTTCCTACCAAATGGCCTTGGTCTTTTCCTTCAGCTGCTTCGGCTTGGCTTTAAAATCACACTATCTATATCCATGTCATTAATTATAAATCATGCCTTCAAATGAAAGAAATGCTGTTCATTCTTTGCTCTAAATGTGTGTTTATACTGCCATTCGTCAGTGAGGGGACATTGATGTCCTTTTACCTTTGCCTTCATTGTGCTTATTGATTGAGTTTTGCCCTTTTGCATAGGGATACTGAAAACAATATTTATAAATGACTGATAAAAATCAACACTTTGGGGAGATCCTCACATCTGACCACAGGGCAGAGTTTCAAATTGGTAAGAGGCTGGGGGAAAGGGATCAGGGGAATATCTATTATACTCAGCTTTACCTAAAGGTACATTACCCCTCCCCCCCATGGGAACTGCTCATCTTGGTGAGCCACTATACTTTGTTAATGTGTCATCTCTCTTAGATGTGTTAAGGACTTTTAGGAATATTTGGGACTGTTCAGTTTCATTTGGCCTTTAGTCTAATCAACCATCTACCTTGATCATTAACTATTTCTACTGAGACAGGGTTGGAAGACTCAGGAGTAAAGGAGATGCATTCTTTCCCTTGCAGGTTTATTTTCCTTATGGTTTATTTTCAGACCTGGATAGGGTAATACAAAATTGGGCTCGGCTGCCAAGGTAAACCTATGATCCAGTCTGCAAAAAACTAGTCCTTAACTGCAAGCTTCTGTTGGTCCAATGTGCACCTCCAAGAATGATTTCAATTTAGAGAGACAGTAGAGCATAGTTAGTAAAAGTTTGCAATGTGGAGCCAGGCAACCTAGGTTTAAATCCCAGCTGTGTGACCTTGGGAAATTTTTTTTAAATATATTTTATTGATTTTTTACAGAGAGGAAGGGAGAGAGATAGAGAGTTAGAAACATCGATGAGAGAGAAACATCGATCAGCTGCCTCCTGCACATCTCCCACTGGGGATGTGCCCGCAACCCAGGTACATGCCCTTGACCGGAATCGAACCTGAGACCTTTCGGTCCGCAGGCCGACGCTCTATCCACTGAGCCAAACCGGTTTCGGCGACCTTGGGAAATTTATATAAAGTTTCTGTGCCTGAATTTCATCATCTGTTACATAACGATAATTGTATCTGCCTCTAGGATTTTGTGATACTTGGATGAATCAATGTATATAAAGGTTTAGAATACATATAAGTACAATATGAATGCATATTTTTGATCAGCACTTTATCATTTCCAAACATACTTTTAATGTTTTCAACTCATTTTATCCTCGTGACCATGCTGTGAAATCGATTCTATTGTTAGCTACATTATACATAGGAGGAAGAGATAAAATAGCAATTCAGATGCCAGTTACCTAAATGCAGTTGATTGTTTTCCAAATAGCTATTTTTCCCTCCCTTGGATTACATATGAATATAAGACTTGAACTTGAACAACTTTTCTCTGCTCAGTTACAGCTCTGAAAGTGTTACTCTGACTCCTGCTACTAATTTTCAATAAGCAGCATAAAATTTGGAACCTTATTTAAGACCTATAGTAAGATTTCTCCAATTTGGATTTCATAAATTTTCAATCAGTGATAAGCAGACATGACCTGCCTTCAACATTTTCGTAGGTTCTTGCAGAGAAGCATGTAGTTGAAATGAGAGTGTAAATGGTTCTTCTGAAAGCATGTTAATTTGAGGAAATAAGTTATTTTCAATGAATAGAACTTGATGTTTGTGTGGAAATGTAGCTATTTATTTCCCATCGATCTCATCCATTCATGAAAGCAGGCCTATCTATTACATTACTGTTAGTTTGTAGATGCTATATTTGAAAAGAGTGAAACAGCTTGAAAATGTTAGTGTTTATACATTTCACTGCTGAGACTCCATGCCACCCATCCCTATGCCTCAGTACTGTCAGTGACATTTTATTTTGTTTCTATCTATCTATATATTCTGATTTTCAGATTGTTGATGAGGCAATGGGCACAATATCACGGACCAGTTTAGGATGATTTAAGCTTCACTCCTGTGGGAGAAAAGTGAAGATAGGGGAAATTGTTAATTTGGGTGAATTGTTCAGCTAAGAAAGATTCCGAGATGGGATTTCAAAGACACTTTCAGTTCTCTCTGTCTAGGAGATTATGATATGGATTTTCTGCTTCCATTCCCAAAATTTCGTCTATGAAGGACTTCTTTCTTTCATTTCATTAATTGGTCAAGCCTTTCAAAATACTTCTTTTTCCCATTTTCATAAACTTCTATTATGAATTCCCATAATTGAATTTAAGTCTCTGACATGCTCTAACTCATGAAGAATTAAAATAAATAGCCCCTCATTTCAGCACCAAAAGCACAGGGAAGGGAGAGCACCAGGGAGCAGAGGGCATCTGGAGTTCCTGGCTTTCACAAGGGAATCAGAACACTTAGGAACTTTGTTTCCATTCCTTCACATCTGTCTTCAGTAAACATTTTGTTGTGTATTGATAGTTAATAGACAACAGGAAAAGTCCAGATGTACTGAAGCTACCTCCATCCTGAGGCCTGTGAGCAGGAAACTTTGATATCAGTCATAATGCTTTTCTTTTAAATGTTAACCCCTTTCCCCTCTCATTTCACCTTACTGCCAATGTTACTATTAATTATAGTCTAATACTTGAATTGTGTGTTTTGTGTCCTCATAAGAGTTTTTGATAAATACTAGACAGCAAGCTATGGGAAGGTAGCACTTGATCTATTCACTGTTTTAGCTTCAGTACTTAGTCACTGGATCTGGAGCACAGTGGGCACTAAATAATGAGAAATGTACACTACTCTGAGGGGAAACATTAAAACTAAAAGATAAAATATTTTTGTAGCACTTCTCTAATTTCCCAAGGGCAGAAATGGGTCAAACCTCTGGTCACCTAACCCCAATATTCTGCCTCTGATAGGTGATCCAATGGATGTTTCTTAGAAGGATTTGGAAGTCCTATCTGAGCATACACTTCAGTGACTAGGGTATTCATTCTTTAATAATCACATTTGATTATATATTAGACTGGCGAGAAAAAAAACTTATATCAGCAGCTAAATTTAAATAATCAATTTCCAAGAATGCATTTTTCACATATTGCCTAAATGAAACAGTTGTATTATAAAAAGTGAAAATTAAATTGCTTATTAAAAAGCTAAATGGAGGGAACTATTTAGGAAAAAAGCATTTGCAATCTTTAACTAATAAAGGATAATTTTCAAAGAAATTATTAATAACTATATCTTCTGGATAATGATGTTTCTGTGCAAATAGTATTTATTGATTACCTACCCTTAACCAGGCTCTATATTGGAAAATATATATATATATAAATAAATAAAAGATGACTAGAACAGTAACCACCTCAAGGAAATTACAGTCTAGTGGGAGAGATTTATGCCCTATTAGTTAGGATTCTTTATTATTGTTATTACAGGTAACAGAAATCAACTTGAGTTAGCTTAAACAAAATCAGCAACAACAAACTTTTTTAAAGGAAATGAGAATGCTTCACAGGACCACAAGAGTGTGGCTAGACTATAAGAAGGTACTAAATTAGAAAAATTGCCCAGACTTTGCCTCTTGCTTTTGAATTCATTTCCTTCAGTCCTGTGTCTGCAGGTTGACTTTCTCTAAATCTCCATCCCCAAGATGGGCAGAAAACCTCATAAAGTCCCCCAGTACATATTTCTTTTATTTAGGAAAGAATTTGAGATTAAATAGATATTTTTCAGTGCCATTTCTAAATTCCAAAGAGGCAGAATTATTTTTCCATCTTGAGACATCTTGAGTCAGGTGTCTATCATTGGTCTCATCAGCTATAACCAAGGTCAGTAATACAAATGTTGCTTTCTGGGAAGCCACCCATTGGTGTTTTGGAGCAGTTCCTAATGCGGGGCAAAGTTGAGTGGGCATCTCCACCCAAAGAAGTCTACTGGAGAGAATAAAGAGCTGATGTTAATACAATTCAGTTAGTACCATGATAAAGATATGTGCAGCTCACTATGAGAGCACAAGGAATGTGAAACTATTTATTAGAATAAAAATGGTCATAATAATGCAGTCTAAATAAGCTATGGTCCCTGTACAGTAAGTGGTAAAGACTAGGGACTGTGGTATAAGACAGACAAGTTTGTGCTCTGGTTCTGCCACTTACCCACTGTGTGTCCTTGGGCAGGTACCTAAAGCTCTGTTTCCTTGTCTATCAAATGCATACATTACTATTTCAGATTTTTCATGTGTGGAGGATTGAATGAGAAAAATGGATATGTACTTCCACATTGTGTCTACTATATATTAAATAGTCCATGTATGTAGTTGTGGTTGTTATCTATCACTGAGCAAGAATTTATGTATATGTTATGGGATAGGTGCTAAAAGGTGAAGTCTCTCTTATCAAAGATTAGCCAGACATGCAATGTGTCCCAGGAAACTCTCTAGCCTAGCAGAGTCCGTTCAACTCTCTCCTCATTTCCAACTGTGTAAAATTCCTTGCATTTGTCTTACGTTAAATAATACATCATTTTAATAACCATCTATCTTGTTCTGCTAAGTATAGAAGACTGTGAGAGGACATTCAATGAAG